TTCCTGGGAGGCTGGGGGCCGAAGACTGCAGGAAAACACAGTTAACGAAAAACCAGGAATCTGAGCTTTTGAGATTTACACACCTATGGAGCGTAAGCGGATGCAACCTTGTTATATAAGAACAACTGTTATTATTTAGTAATATCCCACATCTGTAAGCCCTCCCTGGACCAGGCTAACAAAAGGAAGCCACTTTTGAGGTCCTCAACGCCTTTGTCCACTCCTGGAGAGTTAAACCTCTCTCGGGAATGTATTTTCACTTTGTATGGCTATAGGTTCCTTCTTCACTTTCACTTTGTACCTAGCTCCCTTTGTCTCTGTAATAAAAACTTCTTGTGTGGAATTGCTTCTGGGTCACTCTGTTGTACCAGTTCTGCTTGTGATTCTTCCAAGCAGGCAGCCAAACAACCAGAATAAGAGGCCGGACCTGGCAGTATCTCCAGGGATGGCCTCTCCACTGTGAAGTTACTATTTTTCTCTTTCTCTACTTAATTCTTTACAAGAACGTCACTAAATTCAACCAGAGATGGGATTAAGCTCCACTTCCCAGGGAGGCCAACTGTATTGTTGACTCTTGGCTTCTGCCCAAGTGGCCAAGATGCCCAGGGCCTAGTAAGTTTCTCTACACTTCCGGAAGTGACTCCACTCAAGTGTTTGCTCCTCTGTAGGTAGCCACCCCCTTCCCCACCCGGTCCCCCTCCCCACACCCCACCCCACCACCTCTTTGCATACTATGAAATACCTGCATCCACCTACATTAGCCCTCTCCTAGGCTGCGTATCTGTTCTGTCTGTTGTATGGCCAGTTTCTCGAGAGCCCGTCATATGTTTTGTACACCAAGGCGGTGATCATAGCAGGCTCTATCAATACTTACTAAGCTTGTCTTATTTGATAATGCCCTAAATTCCTTTCAGTGGGTTATCTCATATAATCTTCACCCCTACCCTTTGATATGTACACCTCCTCTTGTACAGATGAGGAGGCTGAACCACAGGCAGCTCAAGTTGTCCAAGGGAACCCCAAGGGGAACTTGGGGCACTCTGCCCCCTAGGGTCCATTCCTTAGCATTATGTCTGGTATTAGGCAACATTGAGTGTATATTTATTTAAGTGAATACAGTGTTGGATTGATAAATAAGACGGAATTTCCTCTTTTATTGATGCTCTTTGATTACAGAGGTCTGTTAAAGCAAAGACAAAATAAGAGAGCTTTGAAAATAATTATACTTCACAAAAGGCATTTAAAGAAAAGGTTCTCCTGCACCCTTTCTTTAAAAAAAAAAACATAGTTGCCTTTGGTGGGCTTGTTACATTTGCACACAGATTCTTTCATGTATATCATATATTTGCAGTTTATTTTACCTTGTCACAGTTCAAACCAATTTAATAGATTAATGAAGAAAGAAAAGGAGTATTTATTTCTGAAGTCTACATGCTAACTCTGGAGACAAGCGAGTGAAGAATACTTAGTAAGAAGTCAGCGGACAGATGTGTAAAATTAAAACTAAAATAATGCACAAATAGCATACTGTAGTGTCGTTAAGAAGGTAGAACTCTGCTGCTCTTCAATCTCTTTTAATTCATTTATTTGCACCTAAAAAATATATGTTACAACTCTGTGATAGGCATTGGTATGAAGTTGAGCAAGACATAGGAGGAGGCTGTTCTCAGAGTTTACCGCTAGGGGGAAAGACAGATATTTAAAAACAAGCAATAAATTGCAGTAGTGATGATAAAGTCCAAAGGAAACCAAGAACCTCTGTATGTCCTGGACAAAGGGACATTGATAATGAGTTCAGATCTTTAGCCAGGGGTTTCAGATGCATTTATTGAATTCATTAAATAGAAAATATTTTTCATCCTAAGTTGAATGAGAAACACCTTTAGATTCCTAGGGTGCTTGTAGGTTGACAGTGTATCTCCATCACCTTTGTCCACTTCCTATAAAACTTTTAACAGGTGAACAGGAAATTACTTTTGGCAGCCCAAAGTGCCCTGTGGTTTCTACCATGACCCCTTCCTCTTCCCTTTTGAGAATGTAGCTTTGTATGTTGGGTAGTCTAATTGGAGTTGGTGAGTTCTTCAAAAGAAGTCTCACTAGCAAAATGCACGTATCCACCTTGTGCTAAGAAAGAGTCAGTAAGAGGAAACTACAAATGACTTATCTTCCTCATTTTCTATGGGTAATGTCATACCTGAGAGAGGAAGGCTCCTTGGTAAGTGTTCCCCTACCCCCGCCAGCACCAACTGGGTTTCAGTTATCCACAGTCTTTACTTGGTGTCATGTTTTTTTACTTGAAAGCATTTATTCAAAGTTCTGAAAAACAAAGCATCCAATACCGTGAGACTTGTGCAACTGCAAATGATGAATGATATAATTCTCAGTCTTTTATAAAATGTCCTAGCACCAAAGAGATTTATACAGTGTGGAAATGGCAATGGAGCTTCGATGTGAGAATAGATAATCAATACCTGTAAGCTTGGAAAAAGCGTTCTGTTTCCTCCACTAATGACGGAGGGGTTTTTGCAAGGCAAGGGTGTCTGGAGCATGAAGCACTCCAAAGAAGAATTAATTTAAAATCTGAAGTGGAAGATCAGTTTCAATTAAAATTGCACTTGAACGTATATTGGGTAGAAGTGTGAAAGCAAGCATGTAGTCGGCTTAAATCTTCAGATTGTTACCAGTGAATAAATGAATCCCACTGGTATGAACCTCAATTATATTTTTATAGAGAGCTAAATTATATTTCACCTATGCCTGGAAGGTTATGAGAAATAGTATGAATGGCAAGTACTTTTCTGACATTGCAGAGTATTTTTGTTAAATTATTACTAGTCGTAGGATAATTGTCAGGTAACTGTGTTTGTTACAAATGATAACTTGCATTTATTAGTTGGAGTCATATATATTTGGAGTTATTTTATTGTGTCCCATACAATTTTTTTCCATTCAATGTGATGTTATTGCACTGGTAAGGTACAAGAAGGCATCTTACTTATACACACATTCACACACAGTATTAAAACATTAGTCTCCATAATTCAGACATACAGACCCAATCATCGTTAACCAAAATTTGTATTTTGGTCAGTGATCCGGTATATCAACGGATCAGTTTTTCAATGGATTCTTTTGGCATCTGGAAGAAAATTTAAACTGTGGACAGGAAAATCAGAGACATTTCATTATGTCCCTTTTCCCTCCTTTTTTTCCTACAAATAGATAGATTCAAGATGAAAATAAAGTTTGGCTAAAATAAATGCAAATGCACAGTCTGTCCCTATCTGACTCATCACAGTCTGAGGGGATTTTACAAAGCAGTGAAAAGACACCAGCAAGAAGTCCTTAACATTTCCTAATATAACTGGAGTTCTACGGTAAAGAAAATGGTCACGTCAACTTTTGCTAGATAGTATTATGTCCCTTGTAAATGTGCCCTAAGGTTGCTAGACCTTTCCTAGTCAGCTGACATGTTCTTTTTGATAGTCTGTTTTTACCTTCGTTTTTGGGATGAGGATTGGGGAAAATGACCCAGGAATTAGAGCGAGACTGCAGTATTTGCCAGATGGCAAGAATATGAATCATTTGTAAGGAGCTATGTCAATTGCTCTTGCAGCCATGAAGCTTCAATGACTGGAAAGGTTTCCTGTGATTGTGCCTTTTTTCATGGTACCATTGTTTATTTCCGTGAGCTGTATCAGACTTAGGGGACGTGGGGAAGCCATGGCACGTGATTGCGTGGTGGCAGAACGGTCACTAGGTAGCTCTTACCTGCTACTAAGCTAACAAGATTAGTAGTTAGACTGACTTACTACTAAACTAAACAAGATTTTCTTGTATCTTCCATCATACAACGCTAGGTATATAGTAAGGCACAAAAATACCCACCCATCAACCAGTATTTTTGTATATAGGTATGTACACATATTAAACATAGAAATTTAAAGCTAAAAAGCCTAGGGGAGATGTGTATGTATATGCATACTCTAAACTTTTTGCTCAGGAAGCCTATTTTACCTTCTAAAAACTGTGGCGTTTCAATGCATTCTGTATCTAATTCTCAAAGAAGGATTCATCTTAATCTTTTCAGCACAAAGTCATTTCTTTTCAGCCGGCTCCTCTTGCTTTGTTATGTGACGAAGGTTAAAAGTAGGGTGCAGAAAAATCCAAGAGCTTGTTATCAACTTAATATAGACGCTGCTCCCATAGTATTTCATTTCCACATAGGGCAGAGAGGCAGATGCAGTGTGTTTTTTGTACTTACACCTGATTGGTACCCGTTAGCACTATGCTTTATGGTGGCACTCTCGTCCTTTATTTCTGTGGCCTATGTCCCCCCAAAAGGCTTTATTTATGTTAGTGCTGAGCCCGATCTAAAGGTCACTTTATACTCCATCCTCCTATGAGAGAGAGGAATTGAGGAAGAGAGAAGAATGCCTTAATACTCAAGTGTGCAAGCTACACCAAATTGAAAAATCTCACACCATTACCCAAAGGAAAAACCTGTCTCATTTCCTCCTTCATTTGTAATGACTCCCATCCTGTGTTGTGTCGGTTCCCCTGCCCCCCTTTTCAAGTTTACAAACTCTTACGAGCTAAGAAGAAAGTTGTATTTAGGCTATTATTCACAATAGCAAAACATGCTAAATTGATTAAGATGCTTCCTTGTGTCTAAATGCTTTGCTTATTTTAGGAAACTTATTTAAAAATTTTCCGAAATGCGAACAACACTGACAGCCCTTCTGTGTAATTCCCTTAATCTGATTAAAGATAAAGTTAGCAAAGGTTTGATTGCAAATCAAGGAGCAAAACTATCTTAAGTAACATATCTTTTCTGAGATCTTCTTGCCACATCAAGCAAATGGCTTTCATCCATCGCTGTCAATATACTGACCTCTTTGGAGTGGGGACCCACTGGGAGATGGGGTTTACTCCCCTTCCTAAGTCTCGTTCCTTCCATCCCTGACCATGAGATTTGAAGTGTGGTTTTCTTTCAACAGGTGCCTATGGTCCTGAACACTGGGTCACGTCTAGCGTCAGCTGTGGGGGCCGTCACCAGTCTCCTATAGACATTTTAGACCAGCATGCGCGTGTCGGGGAAGAGTACCAAGAACTGCAACTTGATGGCTTCGACAACGAGTCTTCTAACAAAACCTGGATGAAAAACACAGGGAAAACAGGTAGACTGTGGCTTCTTTACTTGTCCACGTCAACGTGAAATAATTTTGAGTGTCACTGGTGTTGACCTTAACCATGACTTGCTCCTTAAAATAACGCACGTTGCTGGGGGGAGCCTAAATCAGCCCTTGGTTTGACAATCAGCTGTGTGACATTGGGTAAATTATTTAACCACTCTGTGCAGCTTTGTTTTAAAAAAAGATGTCAAATGTGGATAATAAAATAGTCTCAACCTCCTAGGGTTGTTATGGTTAAATGAGTTAATAAGATGTGAGGTGCATAGAATGGACTTTGAGAAATCTACCCAGTAGGGCAGCCACTAGCCTCATGTGGCTCCATTTGTTTTAATTAAAAGTTAGATAAGATTAAAATTCAGTCCTTCAGTCGTCCTGGGGTCATTTTAAGTGCTCATCAGCCACATGTGGCTAGTGACTACCACATTGAGCAGCACAGATAGGCAACATCCCATCGTCCTAGAAAGTTCTATCAGCCGGTTCTGTCTATTGTACTACATGTGCAATTGGAATTCTTCTCTTCCTCAAGATTTTGCTTTGCTAATACTTGTTATTGTATCAGAGTGCAGATGAACTATCTCACCCCTTTGTGGATCAGACCAGCAATTTGATTCTTCCGCTTCCTTTTACTTGCCCACTTGCCATTCTGGGATGTGCGAATATGCACCAGCATCTTTTTGCCATTGCTGATGCAGACAGCTTTCTCCCAGTCAATTACTATTGTGCAGATATCACTTAGCAGATTGTCCACGGAAGGAGCAGAGAACGCTGTGCTGAGCTTCACTGTCCGGTCTGAAAATAAGCACAAGGCTGGTATATTACATCTCTGCTTAGTGCTGCCTAGGGTTTTCACTCTTATTACCTGACTACTTGTAACTTTAGCCCATTAAAACAAGTTCATTCGTTCTCTTTCTCTCTCCCCCTCCCTTCTCTCTCCTCTCTCCTTCTCTCTCCTTCTCTCTCTCTCTCTCTCTCTCTCTCTCTCTCTCTCTCTCTCTCTCTGTCTCTTTTTAAAACAAACCTTTTATAACCAAGGGTGCCACTGTAAACCACTCTTCCTAATCCCTTTCAGGAGCCTGGGCTGCCTGAAGCCCTGGTGCTGGGCTAAAAGGACTTCCTGCCCGGCCCTTTTGTCCCATTCATGTCGCAGGTCACAGGGTTGCCCTTTTCTTTTAACCCAGCTGGCTGCATCAGCAGCTTTGAGGAACCATTTTCTTTCCTTAAACCAGCATTTGTCTCAGATTATTCATGGCTGATTGCTTAGAGTTTGCCAGGCTTGTTCATAGAAGTCCTTCCCACACAGCACAGTGATTTGGGGCTTTAGGCTCTTCTGTATAATGCCCCCATAAATACTTCTTCTCCCTGTCTTATAGGATAGCAGGGTACCTTCTTCTGTTCCTTGATTCATCCCTGTGGCTAGCTGCTCAGGAACAACTTGTGAGCCTGTAATGTTATTTGTAAGCATTTTTCCATCACCATCTCTCTAATTCCACAGCATAGACTATGTACTTACTGTTACAATTCAGAATTTATCTATCAATGGTCTGATCCTACTTTATATTTCAAATGCGGGTGTTCTTTGGAGAACCCCAATGGGAATATGATCTTCAGACCATCTGAATGTGGCGGATAAGAGCTTTGCCACACTGGGCGCCATCAGAGCTTGGAGTTGAGTGCTGCCTTGGTGCCACGTTGCAGAAGCCTGCCAAAGGCAATTCGCTGGGCTCTCTGATACGGTTTTCTACTTGACTTGCAACGCTTGACAGCCTTCTGCAAAGATAACACATTTCAGTGACAGCTTTCAGCTTGGTATCACCCATGACAGGTTTTAGACGTATGTAGGGTTCACTCAATGCAAGTTGATTCATGACCTTGGTCTTCCAGAAGCTGATTATCAATCTCTGTCATTCTGATGACTTCCTAGAGTGATCCACAACCTGTTGCATATCTCTGAGTACATGTGTCTGATTTTTAGCACATATCTGCAAATACGAACCTGTCTGCCTCAAAGATTCCAGAAGCATAGTGTTCTGAGAAGCAGAAATAAATCTTCATTACTTCTCAAACTACTTATTACTGTAAAATTCATGACATGAAATTAGGCCAATATCTCATAAATACTCTAAGAGGATTCTGTAAGAGCGGTTTTAAAAAGTGACAACCAGTTATATGCAATTTGAAACAAGAACATGGAATTGATTTTTTGATCTCTTGATAGAGTTTCAACTTATGGTGATTTAGAAACTTGGATGCGGAAATCAAATCGTGTAATTTTTTTTTTTTTTAAGAACAAATCTAGTAACTTCTTTTGTTCTGCAGATCTTAAAATGCCAAGTGAGTTCATAAATTTTCCAACATTTTGGAGAAATAAGGATTTGTTTGCTCTGTTTATTTTGTCTGGATCATACAAAGTCAACTGAGGAGTACCTATCAGTGCAGGCTAAATTAAGGTGGGGTTGATAATTTTTACAACGAATATAGTATTGATAGGCAACCTAGATAATTCCAGTTTTTAAAAGGAAAACCCTCATCATTGTACTTCAAATTTGAAAGATGTCACAGTTAGGAGAAATGGTGTATAGGAGTCACAGTATCTTTCTGCATTATTTCTTACAACTACAAGTAAACTTTTAATTTTTTTAATAATTTTTTTAGTTTTTAAAAAGTCATAAACCACATGATCTGTCTTTTTTGCAGTCATTCATTTTATATCTAACATGCCTAGATGAAGAAAACACTTCTTTTTCTTATATCATTAATTTTTAAGCAACACATATTTTTCTTCTCTGAAAGTATTTACTTGGACCTTATAGTTCCAGAAAATAAATTCAGGAGGGAGTATTTTTTTTTTCTGATGGAAATTTATAGGTCACTTCTCTGTAAAATAGACTCTGCCTTTTGTATATTAAAATATGAATAGAGAAAGTTAATATTTAAAGTGGCCTATTGCATACAGACAGTAAGTTTCTCATAAAACAATTTAAATGCTCAGATGTGTCTTAACCCCCTGAGAGTGCTGTATATCCAATCCAGCATAATCAATAGAGTGACTCGGTTGTACCTGGCCCACTTCTCGGAAGCTGTCTAAAACATCTTTACAAGACAAATAGCATCTCTCTCTTTCTTCCCAAGGAGCCATAACTATCTCTTGCGCCAGTTCCCATCTGATTTCATCTAAAGTTATTTCCCTTTCTTTCATTTTTGCGGAATGAGAAGATAATGCATTCATCAAGAACATTTCAAGACAATCTTGCTGTTCCCAGCATTAGCTTCCAGCTAAATGATCAAAATTTAAGACTGAGATGGTGCTTCTGATGTATGTTAATAAGCCATGGCCTCCTGTGAATTTTAACTATTGAGAGGGCTTTTCTTTTTTTTTTTTTCTTTTGTTTTTTGACTGCCTTTTCTCACATCCCACACCAAGGACAAATAGTAAGTGTGTTTGCCGTAATGCACATTACTTTCATTTCCCACTTTACATTTGTTAACTGTATTTTTTCTTTGCCTGTGTTTTTTCCTATTTGTCTGTGTGTACCACAATGCTTGGCCCAGATGGAGTTAAGAAATGACTGTTAAATTAGAGAAGACAGTGGACAGCAGGGAAAGTAGGTGAGGATGGGTAGGTCAGGAGCCATTTCCTAGAATGTCCCTGAGCCCATAACCTTGAGACAAGGATTAGGAGACCATGGCATTTTACTGTATTTTCCCTAGGGGTCTTGGAACTTTTCCAGTAGAATAGCACCAGAGGAGCACACAGACTTGAGCCAAGAGAAGAACAAACTAATCACAGGCAGGTGCATAGAGGAAAATAAAATCTTAACGACCTCGGTCATCTCCACACACTATTTCCTGAACTGAGGATATGACCCAGGTACCTGTCAGAGGAGGATGTGGCTTTGTCACTCTGCTTAGGGACGGGGGTAAGGTAAAGCGATGTCTGAAGTTGAAAGACACTTTGTGTTCTTTGGTTCATTGTAGTTCACGGCTCTAACTAACTGCTGCGTCTGGGGAGACGAGGATGTGACTCTCACTGAGAGTCATCACTGGGCTCCCAGTGTATATGGGCGCCTTATAGGGTTTTCAATGGGCTACCACTCTATATGGGCACCCTATGGGGTTTTCAATGGGCTACCACTCTATATGGGCACCCTATGGGGTTTTCAATAGGCTACCACTCTATATGGGTGCCCTATGGGGTTTTCAATAGGCTACCACTCTATATGGGTGCCCTGCAGGGTTTTCAATGGGCTGCCACTCTATATGAGCGTCATATAGGGTTTTCAGTGGTGATCTTCATGATGATGTTTGATTTCCTTCCCAAACTGATGGATTTCCATGCTCAGCCCCAGTCAAGATACGATTCCACAATTCCAGCATGGTTGTCCACGGGCAACGTGCGTGCAGAAGCCTTTAGCGATCTTGAGATTTATAACAAGGAAGGTTCCAGGAAGTAAGTGTGTGTGTTTGTGTGTCTTCATATCTTTCTGACACTTTGGTCTTTCTATTCTTTCATTTTTATTCTGTTTCAATTCTTTCTACTTTGTTCTTGGTCCAGATGTGTCTTTCTCCACAGATCTCCCCATGAATTCTTTACCTTATTGCAGTTTCATTCTCTCCCACCTGTCACTAGGCCTGTTTCCACTCTCTGCCCCTGGCATCCGGCCCTTTCTCTCCCTTCTTCCTATCTTCCTTCCTTAGAGCTGGCCACAAATGATAATGGAATGGTAAAAGATGTTTTTTGTTTATTGTATCTGTGGAGTAAAGTTTGGTGTCTATAGCAATAATTAAGTATATTCTCATTTTAATACAACCTCTCTTATCCCTGATAATGTTGGATGGGGAAGGCCTGAACAAATGAAATACATGAATGATTGTCCAGGTATATTTTTTTTTCGGGGGGGTTCCAAACTCACCTGTTACCAAATCATTACTATCCAGTCTTACCTGAATCTTGGCATTGAACTTGGAGCCTTTTCGTGGGGTCTCCT